CTTGTTACCAGGGAATAGTCTTATAGACTTAGAATACGCAGACGACATAGTCCTGTTAGGAGAGGATGCTGACAAAATGCAGAGTCTTCTGAACACCTTGAACAGCAATCTTCGTATGTTTGGCATGCGATTCGCCCCTGTGAAATGCAAGATGCTGCTACAGGACTGACTGGACTACGTCAACTCCTAGCTTAGTGATAGGGAGTGAAGTGATAGAACATGTTGACCACTTCACCTATTTGGGAAGTTGTATCAGCACCAACGAGTTGATTGGTGACGAAATCTCATCACGGATCCAGAAAGCTCGAGCTGCTTTCGCTAACTTACACCGTCTCTGGCGTAGGCGTGACATCCGGCTGTCAACCAAAGGACGTGTGTACTGCTCATCAGTTCGCCCCGTCCTTCTCTATGGCGGTGAGACGTGGTCATTGAGAGCGGAAGACATGAAGAGATTGTCTGTTTTTGACCACAGATGTTTACGATCTCTTTCTCGCGTTAGGTGGCATAATAAGGTAAGTAATGTTGACGTTAGGCGTAGAGTGTTGGGCAAAGAGGGAAAATCACTCGAAGAGGCTATGAAGTTACATAGATTGAGATGGCTAGGTGACGTGCTGCGCATGCCTAACCATCGTCTCCCCCAACGGACAGGCATTACTAGCTGATATAGGTGCAGGCTGGAAAAGAGTAAGCGGTGGCCAAACAAAAACATGGCATCAATCCATGAAATCCCTGACAGTTACACTGGGTCAGGTAGGGAGATGCAGACTTCTGGGTTGGGGCCGGCCCTCGGGACTCTAAGAATCAATGGCTGGAGACAATAGGTGACATGGCTCAAAATCGTTGTTAATGGCGCAGATGTATTCAGTCTCTTTAACCTTCATATTCCTTTCTACCATTACTCATTCTGTTTCAATCTTATACTTATCTAAACTCTATTGATTCTCTTCTCTCATTTTCTTGTCTACCTTTGTGTGCTGTTTGGAATGTGGCAACTCGAAGTGCTGCACTTCGGTGCCAAGTTCTATGTTGAATCCAGCAGCAGCAGCTGAGCACTCCACACGTCCTCTGATCGATAGCCAGTCGGATATCACGTCTACCAAGACAGAGATGGCGCAAGTTGGCTAATGAATGCCAGACGAGCACTGTGTATCCGTGCTGAGTTCTCGTCAGACATCAACCCATTGGCACTGGCTGATGCAACTACTAAAATAAGTACAGTAGTCGTGGTCAACACGCTCCACCAACCACTTCACTCCTGCTTATCTTTAACATAGGAGTCGATGTAGTTCAATGCAGTCCTGTAGGCAACATCATCTTACATTTGACATGAGGAGAGAACTGCATGCCAAACATTTGAAGATTGCTCCTCCTCATCCTCCTCAAAGTGCTCAGGAGACTTTGCATATTTTGTTAGCCAGTGTTCTCACCTAGGAGGGAGGACTATATCTTCTGCATATTCTAAATCAACGAGACTATTATTCCCTGGTAACAAGTCAACCTGTGAGTCGCTGAAGTCAATTAGGGTTAAGTGCATTAGTGCGTACATCTATGATGAAACTGAACAGAAATGGAGAGAGTGGGCATCGTTGACGGGCATCACTGGTTGTCATCACGGTTGTCAGATGACAACTCTCCGTAGGCTCTCACCTGGCTGGCTGCATGAGTTCGAGTAGAGTGCTTTGGTCAGTGCAATGTATTTTATCGGCATTCCTTTCACAGACAAACATCACCATATTCCCTCTCACTCGACGGAGTCGAATGCTGACTTTAGATCAAGAAATATGGTGATTGTTGAACGCCGACGGTAAGTATGCCTATGTTCCACTGCAGAATCTGTCGAAGGATGAAGATATGATCAATAAACCCTCTTTCTGGTCTAAAGCCTGCCTGATTTTCTCGTCTTTGTTCTTCCTGAGCACCACTTAGTCTACGCATGATTTGTGAGCCTAGAACTTTAAGATACCATACTAGTCAAGCAAATCCCCCTGTGATTATCACAGAAAGACTTATCTCCATTCTTGTATACTGATATAGTCAACGACGTACACCAGCCAGTAGGCAATATCTCTGATTCCTATACACTGCCTATAATATCTTAGTTACTCAGTAAGTAAAATGTCTCCGCCATCCCTAAACACCTCTGGAGTAATTCCATCAGGTTCTACTGCTTTGCCTCGTTTCAGAATAGTGACAGCATTAGTAGCCTCAATTAGAGACGGAGGACCAAAGTAAAGGAATTAGGTAACAATACTCATCAGATACATTCACAAAACCGTCCATTACTTCAAATCCCTTTCGAAAGTAAACAATACAGCATGATCGTCGCTGTTACCGATTTTGAAACTGGTGAATAGTATGATCCATAGGACATCATCGAAGCAGTCATAATGTACCAACTTATAGGACAAAGAGTTAGCCGAAAACGATTTCGGTAAAGCCAGATTTGAATATGGATATCCAGTAGCTTAAAACTAATTGTCTAATGTAACAAGTTAAATATTAATCACTAGTGTGCGGAAGCTCTTCAGATAGCCAGTGAATATCAGAATCATTTTTCGCTTCCAGTGAAAGAACTACACTATGGAACAAAAAGGAGAAACGTCATCGTACAGCATTCTGACAACATGGTAAGTTTCGGTGAAATAAAACCTCAATGATAAGTTTCTTTTATCTGTATAACAGCAGAATGCAACAACAACACAGGTAAAATAGATATCCAACCTAAAGAAAAACTGTCCAAGGGAATCAAATGCACCAATGAACTTGAAACGCACGAGCAAAGTTAGGAAGAGTTTAAGGTTAGTATGAGGAAAGCTTAATTTCAGGGTTGCGGTAAGGCCAATTTCACGGCGGACACTCTTTGAATCACTGGACTGTCTAAGTTTGCTATCCATGAAAATGCATCGATTTTACCCCCGTTTTAGATTGTTTTATTCTTGCAATTACCCTGATGCATCACAATATATAGTCGCGAACAATTTTCAAAAAGGTTTCTGCTTACCGCTAGGAGCTTTTTGAAGGGAATGGATGGAGAGCGTTGTCGAGCAGAATCATAGCATAGTTCTGATGGAACAATATTTCTTCAAGGTTTCGTCATGAGCTGACATCAGTTAGAGAACCACTGAAAAGCCGCCTGGGAGTACTGGATGGCTGCTTTGTCCACATTTGAAACTCTTCATCAGTATGCGCCCACCTGAGTTCAAAGTCAAGAACTTCCAGTTACAAGGTGGGCTCGACTGGTTCTATTCAGGTAGGGTAGGTAGTTACCTGGATTCTAATGAGAAGCTGTAACCAGTGGGGTACAGCAGGTGGTCGGGTGTGAGAACAAATACTCGCCACTGACGACATGGCTGGTGATTGCACTATATGGTAAATTGTTAGAAGTTGGATCGGGTCCCAGTAGCTGATGAATGATCTACGAGCTTGCCTTGTAACCGGAAGGTGCTTGGTCTGAACCCTGACGTGGTGTTGCGTACGTACTCCTGAAGTCTCAAACTAGGATGATCGGGAACAGCTGGCTGTCCAGTACTCCGTAGTTGGTTTTCAATGGTTCTCTAATCATTATGAAACCCTGTAACCAATCAAATCCCTGAAAACCAACACCTAAATACTTCTTAACATGATACATTGTCGATCATTGTATCTTTTGAAGATTCTGCATAAAGGGGAAGTACCATGCAATTAAATATTCTGGAAATTCTGGACTGTAAATAGACTCATTTTTCAAAGTAAAGCAATTATTATTATTATTGCTATTATTCTTAAGTACCAAAATTTGCTTTCTACCGTAGTTGCACGCCTTTACCTTGGATCACTATTCTCTAAGTTTATCAAATAGATTTCATATACGGCTAATTGGCTAAGATATTCGAATTCCATTCAATGCGTGCCAGGTTCAAATTCTGCTCCACTTCATTCAACCTCAGCAACTTAATATTAACATTAAATATAACAAAGTAACTATAGCAATCGTAAAGTGATACATAAAAGATCTACTCTTGATGAGTGATTAAGTTCATACAAGGATATACATATATATATATATATATACATGTATAATATGAAATACTATTCCGAACAATAGTGATCATACACAATGGAAAGTTAAAACAAGCAATAAAGGTTAATAAAGCAGGATTTAATGAATTCATCAAATTTTGGTAGAACTAGTCAGCTGAATACTCTACATACACGGATATATATATATATACTTTTAAAATGTAGTCCGTTTACTTATCAGTCCTATATCTCCCAATGTAATTTCAAAAGTATATATATCAGTGTATGTAGAGTATTCGGCTGACGAGTTCTGTCGAAATTTGATGAATTCATTACATCCTGCTTTATTAACCTTTATTGCTTGTTTTAAATTCATATCAGGAAATAAATGTTTTCAACAATGGAAACTATCGACATTACGTAATCAGATGAAAGAGAGGTGAAAATATCCAGTTACCAGGTTGGTAAAGAAAGACTGCTAACTGCCTCTTTCTGAACGCATAAATCAGGTTTCAGGCGCTTGATGGAGATCGCTTCGGTAAACTTGAGGAGAATTGAATTATTGATAATTTGGAACGATTTTGCGACGTCCACTTCATGACCTATGTCAAGGATAAGATAACTGTCCTGGTAACTGAATATTTTCACCACTCTTTCATCTGATTGCATGATGTCGAAAGTTTCAATTGTGTATGATCATCATTGTTCGGGATAAAGTGTTTATTATTATTTCATATCTTATTACTGTATGCATGTATTGATTAATTGATTTTTGTTTAAAAATGAACTGTCTGTGCAAGTATGTTAAAATTGGTTCAGTAATGACTTTGGCCTGTAAGCAGCTGAACTCAGCTAATGAGAAGCCAACGAAATAAACAATGTTATGGTACCATTTTATTCTGCAAAAACTACCATTGTTCTTGTTTTATTCAAATTCATTAATAAAGGGGAATAAATGTATAAAAGAAGTCTAGTCATAGATTAATCTAATTCTGTCCTACCTGGCTTCAGATATTTTATGACCAACGAAATAGGTATAACCACCGTTAAATCCACATTCAGAAAGACTTTTACAATCATCTTTTTCGAGTAATAATCCAATTAAATAGGTATCATACGGTTTGTCTCTTATACTTGTTGCTTCACCAGGCTGTAGAATCTAAAATCAATAATGAACAGAAATAATGATTTTTAACTGATTAATATAATGGGAGATGAATTATTAAGTTTGTAAACAATTACGGCGAATTCTTTCTATGATTTAGAAGTGTAATTAATGTCCACCAACAAACACATAGCGGCGACATCGAAGTCCTGTAAGAAGCTCTGTACGACTACATCTTCGATAGTAGAAAGTCGTAGGATATTCACTGTCCGAAGGCAGAGACATCAAATGTAACAGGAGAAGATAAGAGGCTTGGTAATGGACATTTCTGTTAAGGAAAAACACATCATATTTGTACATCTCTAGCTATATTAAAGTTCGTTTAGGTCAGAGGAGAATAAATTGTTCTGATTGGTTGACAGTGAGCCGAAAGTTAGGAAATTTGTCCAATGAGATTAGTTCATGTTCACAACGTAAACTAAATTCACACTTGAGAATAAGTCTAGACACTTCTACTTCTGCAGACAGCCATTGGCTTAAAATGTTGGTTTAAGTTTTGACCACTTCCTATCAAACTGCAGCACGCTATAGAAGAAATGAACAGCTATTTTTCCCTTAGTTGGCTGTTTCTCAGCATTGCATACACGGTAAACAATTGCCTAGAATTATTAGCTTACAGCTTTCATGATTATTCTGTAACGACAGAAGACAAGGGCCAGACAACAGATCGTTTATTGAGAAAATCAACAGGTATTTCTAGATTCTTATATACATTCCATATTAGTTTGTTTATTAGGTATATCACACAGTGAAACAGTATTATTTACTGGATGACACAGTTTCGAACAAAATTTATTGTTCATAATCATATCAATTGTGATCACACGACTTTGATACTTGAGTTTTATAGTTTTCTTTGTCTTCTCCTATTTGTCGTTTGGGTAGTAGAATTTTCCAAATATCGGGGACAGGTGATGAATCATTCCTATTACATGTATTTGTAGTTGATTCGATAAACAAAGCTTCTGTTATCAATCTCTCCCTATACCCTGTGACATTAGATTTTAAAACTGTCATCCTATCCCATCCTATTGTATGGTTGTGTGTGACTGCATGTAGTGCTATAGCTGAACTATTCTCTAGATTTCTTATCTTATTCCGGTCAACCAATCTAGATTTTGCTAAGTTTTTATGTTCAGCTAGTCTGACTGCCACTGTTCTACTAGTTTGACCTATGTATTTGACCTGACAATCATTCCAGCAGGGTATTAGATAAACTAAATTGTTTTGTTTTAAAGGCTCTACAGGATCCTTTAACCGACAAAGCTTGTTCCTAATTGAGTTTGTTGGTGGTTTGAATGCCAGCCATTTTTATTCCTGCCTTGTTAAGAATTCTGCGTAAGGCTTCCGAGGTTCCTTCCTTGTATGGAATTACTACTGATGATTTAGATTCTTTATTGTTGGTGTCGTCATTAATATTATTATTATTATCACTATCATTATTATTGTTATTATCACTATCACTACTATCATTATTTATTTTATTTTTACTTTTCTTTACATATTTCTTGACTAATTTATCCGGGTAATTATTAAGTTTTAAGGCTTCTTTTATGTGTGTTAGTTCCTGTTTTAGATTTTCTTTGGTACTACTTAATTTTTGTGCTCTGTCATTTAAACATTTCACCAATCCTATTTTTACTGACATAGGATGGGATGACTGGAAGTCCAAATATCTGTTGGAGTGTGTGGGTTTCCTGTAAACACTAGTGTTTACCTTCCCATCTTCTTTCCTCATTACGTTACAATCTAACATTGGGAGCTCCCCTTCCTGATTTTCCAATTCATAAGTGAATTGAATTGCTTCAACCTTCGAGTTTATGTGTTCGAAAAACCTATCTATATCTTGTGTTCTAAGTACAGTGAATGTGTCATCTACGTACCTCCACCATACTTTTGGGGTGGTTGGGGGTGAACGTTTTAATCGCTATGCTTTCCCACTTATTCATGAATATATCTGCTACCACTGGACTTTCACAAACTGAAGCAAGATATGAAAATCTTCGTATTTTCAACATTCGATGCCAAAAAAATGAAATCATTCCTAAATATTTACGTCTACGAGCTCCAGTTCCAACAGACAGAGTTAGAAGCAGAATAGAAGGCCTACAAAAATTGTGCCTGAAAGAAGAAATCCACAGAATCGTAAAAAAGTTGCAACATATCAGATCTGAAATTGAGCAATAAAAACAAAAGATAAAAGGAATAGTTACCAGTACAGATTATGATCTTATAACACAGTCCTCTAGCATTGCAAAATCAGCAACTTTCAAAAAGTCAAAACATAGTCAAATCAAAAGGTTCAACAAATTATTAGAAGAGAAATCTACATCTCAGAATGATGAAGTCAACAACCAAAAGTCAACGGCGATCGATAAATCAAAGTGGGTTATCAATCTCTCAACACATATATTAAGTCCTACGGAAATAAGTGTTTTAGAAAAGGGACTAAATTTCAATGTATCTGTATACAAGCTGAAACCTGAGGATGTCATCCCTAAAATAGAAATAGCACTAAGTGGAATAGACAAAACTACGGCTGATGAAGTACGGGCACAATGTGCACTAACATTGAAACGACAAAAATGTGGAAAGCCAAACCTGACAAAACAAGAGTTAGAAGCCCTGAAACACCTTAAGAATAACAAGGATATAGTTATCACAAAGTCAGACAAAGGAAATGCAACAGTAATATTAGACAAATCAGACTACTTGGACAAGGTAAACACTCACATACGAACAGGACCATATCAGGAAATTAATAAACCAATAGATACCATTATGAATAAAGTTAAGAAATCCACAGCGGATCTTATACGCCGAATGAAGCCGTTTCTAGGTGAGTCTAAGTGGTTTAACTTAATGCCCAAAACTAATATAACCCCAGTAGGATGTATGGTGTTGTTAAAGTTCATAAGTCAGGATACCCTATTAGACCTATAGTTGATTTTAGAAATTCACCTACTTATGGATTATCTAAATATTTAGCCATGGTATTAAATCCCGTAAAAATCTACTCGAAATCTAGACTAACTAATTCTTATGAACTCAAACACAGATTAGATAATTTAAAATTAGATAATGAAGAAAAAATGGTTAGTTTTGACATTGTCAGTTTATACACACGTATACCAATAAATATGGCTACAGAGGCAGTCAGAAACGAACTCATTTCTGACCAAGAACTCGAAATTAGGACAAAAGTGCCACTTGAGGACATAATGCTGGGAGTACAGCTATGCCTGACTTCCACAGTATTTAAATTCCAAGGGAAAATATACAAACAAACTGAGGGAGTTGCCATGGGATCACCAATATCCCCAGTGGTAGCAGATATATTCATGAATAAGTGGGAAAGCATAGCGATTAAAACGTTCACCCCCAACCACCCCAAAAGTATGGTGGAGGTACGTAGACGACACATTCACTGTACTTAGAACACAAGATGTAGATAGATTTTTCGAACACATAAACTCGAAGGTTGAAGCAATTCAATTCACTTATGAATTGGAAAATCAGGAAGGGGAGCTCCCAATGTTAGATTGTAACGTAATGAGGAAAGAAGATGGGAAGGTAAACACTAGTGTTTACAGGAAACCCACACACTCCAACAGATATTTGGACTTCCAGTCATCCCATCCTATGTCAGTAAAAATAGGATTGGTGAAATGTTTAAATGACAGAGCACAAAAATTAAGTAGTACCAAAGAAAATCTAAAACAGGAACTAACACACATAAAAGAAGCCTTAAAACTTAATAATTACCCGGATAAATTAGTCAAGAAATATGTAAAGAAAAGTAAAAATAAAATAAATAATGATAGTAGTGATAGTGATAATAACAATAATAATGATAGTGATAATAATAATAATATTAATGACGACACCAACAATAAAGAATCTAAATCATCAGTAGTAATTCCATACAAGGAAGGAACCTCGGAAGCCTTACGCAGAATTCTTAACAAGGCAGGAATAAAAATGGCTGGCATTCAAACCACCAACAAACTCAATTAGGAACAAGCTTTGTCGGTTAAAGGATCCTGTAGAGCCTTTAAAACAAAACAATTTAGTTTATCTAATACCCTGCTGGAATGATTGTCAGGTCAAATACATAGGTCAAACTAGTAGAACAGTGGCAGTCAGACTAGCTGAACATAAAAACTTAGCAAAATCTAGATTGGTTGACCGGAATAAGATAAGAAATCTAGAGAATAGTTCAGCTATAGCACTACATGCAGTCACACACAACCATACAATAGGATGGGATAGGATGACAGTTTTAAAATCTAATGTCACAGGGTATAGGGAGAGATTGATAACAGAAGCTTTGTTTATCGAATCAACTACAAATACATGTAATAGGAATGATTCATCACCTGTCCCCGATATTTGGAAAATTCTACTACCCAAACGACAAATAGGAGAAGACAAAGAAAACTATAAAACTCAAGTATCAAAGTCGTGTGATCACAATTGATATGATTATGAACAATAAATTTTGTTCGAAACTGTGTCATCCAGTAAATAATACTGTTTCACTGTGTGATATACCTAATAAACAAACTAATATGGAATTACTTACTACCAGAGTGCCCAAGTTTTACACATATATCTTATATACATTATCATTGGCGTTATTGTTAGCAGAGGAGCAACGCCTTCTGATTGGTTGTTTTCTTGCTGAAGGTTATTCTGTATTGCTTGTGAACGTTTCTTAGAAAGTTAAGCCACACATCGGCGAATCGAATTTGCACACGTTAAGTCTACTGTGATTGGTTGGTGATTTCCTCAACGTTAAGCTTTGTTACTCTTTTTTTCTAATGACCCCGATTCGGGAGGTAAACACTGATGTAAATTTCTCTTTACAATTGTGGCTAGCAGATACCTGTCACCACACAAGAATTTACAAAGAGTAAAAGTAGCTAAGGAGTAAATGGTACCAGATTGTTTTGACTTCCTTACGTAGAACATTAAATATCTACACAATGGCT